CAGTGCGATGTCGATCATGGTTTTTAATTCTGATTTTTCAAGACACCACACTAGAGATTCGGGGCACTGTCAATTAGAATCGGGGTACGGGCCTGTGTGCCAGCGCCAAGAGACGCCTGTAATAATGAGTCGTTTACATTTTTTGCTGTAGGTTATTGTATAAAAGTCAGTTTTTGTTTTGTTTTTAATTAAGCACAAAGCTACACAATGGGCTAGCTGTGCTCTGCCCACCACGGGTATCGAAATCCGGATTCTAGCGTTGTAAGTCCGCAGGCATACCGCTGTGCCACTGGGGGGCATAAAGTCAGAAATAAGTAAAAGAAAGAAAATACATTTCTCGATAGATTGATAGAAATCAAAAATTGCACGATTATGCTAAATTGTCGGAAGTGTATAAGAATTTTCTTCTTTACTTTATAAAAGATAAACTCTTGAATTATAACATACTAAAATATTCCCGAAAGTAATAAAAAAAAGAGCTCTTAGAATATTTTATTAGCCAATTGCCAAACAATTTTAGTCATAAAGATAGTTGATAAATGGTAAATTTTAACTCATACAACAGGTTCCGTTTTTTTTAACCGACGTAATTCTTAAATTCTCCACGAAGCCATTATGCATTGTCGAAGAGAAAACCAAGATGAGAATCACCAAATTTGCATAAAAATCCAATTTCACGGTATATGATTGATAAACGCCTATGTACTTAACTCACTCCATTTGTGCCCACGCACGAACTGCTTTCAGGATAAAATCATTTAGTTTAACATGATTAGTTTTAGCATTTTTAGAAGAGAACAGCAAAACCAAAGACAAAATACACCTAATGTTACAGTTTTAAATGCTAAATTAAATTTGGCGAAGCGAACAAACAATAGGCTTAATGATAGTGACAAAAATCACACTAGACTGAATGTGCCAGGTGGATAAGGCGCTCGACTCACAATCTGAGGGTCACGGGTTCGAATCCGCATCCCACCAAACATGCTCGCCCTTTCAGCCGTGGGGGCGTTATAATGTGACGGTCAATCCCACTATTCGTTGGTAAAAGAGTAGCCCAAGAGTTGGCGGTGGGTGGTGATGACTAGCTGCCTTCCCTCTAGTCTTACATTGCTAAATTAGGGACGGCTAGCGCAGATAGCCCTCGTGTAGCTTTGCGCGAAATTCCAAAACAAACAAACAAGACTGAATGTCATTTTTTCTGCACTTCCCTTAATTAGTGAGTTACGAATTTCAAAGTAGAAGTGTGTGAAAACAAAATTTTAAACTTGTTATTGTGGTACATAATGTTTTTTAAACTTATTTTATTATGTGATACATGTCAATGCCCAGGAGGCCTTTCATTTAATACCAGAACTTGTTCAAAGGGAAGCAAAGATGTTGACCTTAATCGAAGCTGGAGACCAAAAACTAACAAACAAAGAACAATGGAAGGCAACACGAGATGATAGTGTTACGTCTCTGTTCGTTTGTTAATTTCCCGTATAATTTCTTTCCGAGGAAACTTTAGCGATACAAGTCCTTTCTTAATTAAAACTAGTTTATTATTTCTCGATACAACTTTATAATACACAGAACTTCCACAGTCACTTTAACTTAAACACACGCTATAATTCACAACGATTTACACCCTTTACTTACGGCTTGACTCGATTATCCGTCTCTTTATCTCCCTATCTGCAATTATCTATGCCGTCATTTCATTTGCCGGCTTATATATATACAAAAATAGAGGGCACGTAGAAAAGAAATATGATCCTTCTAGAAACTCATGACGTGTTACCAGGGTCACGTGACTTCCGCTGTCGTAATAATAGGGATGTTAAGCTACGTACTTTCTTTTCAAGGAACCCCAGTGTAAAAAAAAAATACAAATAGAGTGGAAACTAAGTAAATTTAGACATAATTTAAACGAGAACTTGTAACTAACCTAGCCAGATGGAATTGTTATTGTTATTGAAATTGACCTGAAACATGTAAATATTAATCACTTGATGGTAAATAGAAAAATCAGGAGCTTACGATTAGTTAAAGCACTTGGACCAGACAAGGTTTTCCCTGGCGTTTTAAAGATATTGAAGATCAGACATGCGACTCTTTCTCTTTCATATCTGGTAGATAAATATGAAATGGGCAGGAGAGTTTTGTTATTTTGAAAGAGGGTAACAAGAGTTGCCCTGCAAATTACAGGCCAGTTGATCTTGATTTTATTTTTTTTTTGTAGTTCAAGCGAAAAGCTACACCATGGGCTATCTGTGCTATGCCCGCCACCGGTATCGAAACCCGGTTTCTAGCATTGTGAGTCCGAAGACATACCACTGTGTCACTGGGGGTTATATTTTGTAATAGCCTTGTTTGTGTTAGAGCAAAGCCACATTGAGCTATCTGCTGTGTCCACCACGGGGAATTGAATCCCGGATTCTAGCGTTGTAAGTTTGTAAACTTACCACTGAACCACCGGAGGACATTTCGTAACAGAAAAAAAAATTCTAGAAAGCCTGATAAAAGAAATTTTACAAAAGCATTTAGTGAAATATGATATTATAAATGAAATCCAAACTGGATTTACCAAAGGGAAAGTATGTCTTGCTACACTGTTATCTTTTAATTCGAGAATGTTAATTGTTATTTGGACGAGAGAAAGGGTATAGATTTAGTGTACTTTGATTTTTAAACACCTTTCGATAAAGGTACCATACAAAGATCAGCTAAGAAAATCATAAACCAGTAGAGGTTGGGAAAAGACTAGTTAATTGAATTTGTAGAGATGCTGGATGGGAGAAAGCAAAAGGCTGTAATTAATGGGTCCAGTCAAACTTCACCCTTGTACCTCAGGGCTCAACACTTGGACCTTTACTCTTTCTTATTTACATTAATCGTAGTTATAAGGACTTAATTACTACATTAGTAAAGTATGTTAATGGCATTCAACTTTTGGGTATTTCTAGATATTTTGAAGATATTTGGAATTAGTCAAAGGGGAAATTGTAAAAATAATATATACATATATGGAAAAAAGGTTGGTTGAAAATATAAAAATTAATAGTAAGAATTTCTTCAAATACATTTAAGGATTGGAATAGGGCCTTTGAGGTCTGTCTGTATCATCCCTATATCTTTCGGTGTTATTCGTACATGTTGTCTGGTAGGTTAGATTACTCATCATCGATACCAACAGGATCAGTACATATGGAATTTTCACAAATTATTCCACGACTTTCGCTGCATGGTGAACACAGAAGCTCATGCTTCCTGTAATTACATTTTAGATTTAAGCAACCTGTTTTGCAACTCTATTTAATTACATTAAACAGCGAGTTTGTTTTGGGTGGTTCATGGAATGTTTAACCATCATTTTATCATCAAAGACAATCCATTCCCACTCTTCTAAATCCATATCTTTATCTGCCCCCATTTATTACCTCATATCTGGAATGTGACATCTGGCAGGACTGAAGATGTCTACATTAGGGTTTAGCTGTGGGGTCTGGAAGGGGCTT